CTCGCGACTTGACAACAGAACTAAGCCGTAACATTTCATGTTGCTTATCTCACACAGAGTAGAGTCCCTCGATGACTGATGAGCCCCCTAATGGTAAAGAGAGCGTACTTGATATCTTAGCGGGTTTCGCTTTCGATGAAGGGCACCAAACGGTCCTCAGAGGTGACGGTGCTTGTTGGTCTGTAAGCTCTGGTAGTAGTACTAGTTACAGATGCACATACAATAACACCAGCGAGGAGGTCCATCAGAAAGGTCAAGGCTGAGTCGGGAAGCCCTAAGAAAAGGCCTCGATCGGCTACTAAGAGGAGGATGTCGAATAAAGAGGCACTGCAGCGACATCGAGGTGAGTTGACTTTATGACTGTCCGTCAGCAGCACTGCATCGATTAGTAGCTACTAAATCTATGGTGCTCAGGATTCCCCCCAAGCATTGGCGACTCCCCAAGAGTGTTGATACTGGGCTCGGCACCCTGCGAGATGTCTCTCGAGAAGGGACAGTTCTACGGCAACCCCCGGAATCACTTTTGGGCTGTTATGGCCTACGCAATGGATGACCCTACATTCCCCATGCTTGACTTCGAAGCACGGTGTTCAGTCCTGCACTCTCGAGGTATCGCCTTATGGAACATCTGTGATGTGTTTACGCGCTATAAGAGCTCTGATGCCACTTTGCACTGTGAAGGTGAGAAGGGGCCTCATCGATGCAACCACCAACAGTAGTCTATGCAGAGTACACGGACATTGCTGGCCTGCTGGTCGAGCACCCAACGATCGGGTACATCCTCTGCAACGGCAGTGCGTCTTATGATTGCATGTTGAAGTATGACCTGGCTGCCCGGCTGGAAGTCAGTACAGGTCTACAGCCGACGCCTCTATCTCTCGCTACTCAGGCTCGAGGCGCCGCCCAAGCAGTAGATCTGCCGGTGATACTGAAGCTGCCATCAACTAGCCCAGCTAACGCCATGGCTGACCCTGTTGGAACGAAAGGGAAGGTGTGGAAGGAGAAGCTTCAGGAAGCACTTAGTGGCTCTCAATGTCGATGATAACAACACGAGTTCTAGTATACTACAGTTCATGTTTCATTTATCAATCATCGTCTCGATTGTGCACTATCATCAAGTTGATCAGTTTTCGTTGAGTAATGGAGTCATGGGATGGCATGGTCAACTCATCATTTCCCGGCTGTGTTCGTCAGGGCCTATGGATGGAGGAATGAGGGAATTCAATCGAACGGGGATAGCGCGATAAGCTCTTTGGTGAACAGTCCAACCATCCAGCGGGTACTGTGTGATGGTTCGGCGGCTTTCAACAATGGACGCACATATGAGCCCGTGAGG